AATTCATTAGCCCATTTTAATTTGAAGCAAATGAATATACTTTATGTAGTTTTGCTGTAATATTAATATCTACTTTTTGGTATTTGTATGCATTGAATTAATCTTATTGGACGGCTAGTTATTTATATGTTTTTGAATTGGGCTACGTTAATTTGTAAAAGTTACGAATGAAATGTCATTAGTTGTATTTATATAGTGTTGTAAATATTAAAAAAATTAATTATGGTACGGAACCTAACCGAACCGAACCGAACCGAACCGAAATAGTCCTAATATATCCCTTAAAATAATTAAAATCAAATAAAAATAAGAGAAAATAAAATTGTTTATATCTATTTCTTCACCTCACCCCACCTTCCCAAAAATCAGAAAATCAGTTGCCAGCACCAACACTCTGCTGCACCGCCCACGACCACCACAAATCGCTACCACCTTCACCACAAATCTCAAACAACAACTCGTGTTTTCAATTCTCCTCCACTGTAAACGAATTTTTTATCAAATGCAATTTCAAATTAATGAGTAAACTTCTCCATTCAAACTACTTTTTCCCTTCAAGTATTGTATGGCCTAAGTTCAGAAAACTGTGGGCAATAGTGGTTAGTCCTCGACGAGGAGACATATTTTTGAAAGGTTTGAGACTGTGTGTAGCACAAAGTGAAGTTTAAAATAAAGTTTGCAAAAAGTGAAAGGTTAGGTATCGCTACTACAATTTTCCCTTTATTTTATAATTTCTCTATACTATACCTACATAAGAGGTGTTAATTTTAATTGGAATAGCTACTTACTTTGCTAGTTTCTCCCCTCCAAGAGTGTGGAAGCTGTTAATAAAATGTGCAATAGCAGTACCACTGGGATACACCAACTTCAGGTCTATGATCATTGTCTTGACACAAAAAATGTGATACATCATTTACGATTCAAAAATGTAAAAATTTTATGTATTGGACTGTATGACAGTGTCCAACATACCTAACATGTAAAGCATACCTTTCGGAGAGGAACCACCGAGAAAAGACCCAAGAAGCTAGTTACAAAAAGAAAGCCAATCATCCATCCTAGTTCCGGGTTCTTGTAGTCCAACTCATATTTAGCTTCTGCTGGTTGATTGGCAACACGTTCACTCATTCCAAACAGGTAACTTCCAAAGCCACCTGTACAGGATGCTCAAGTAAGATATTCTATATGCACTGTGCACGCAGTGAGGAAAAAATAAGGATTGAAACCATATATACTGACCGCTAAAACCGATGCCTGTGGAGGCAATAACGCAGGTCTGAATGACTGTAATTTCTTGGCGGGTCAAGGGCTGCTTCAACATACCAGCTTTCTCAAGTGTTTTAGTCCAAGTCTTGACAAAAAAGAATCCCAATATCCCAGCAGCGACATTCAGTGGTGGTATTAAACCAAAGCTGAGGTTGAGTTTCATCAGTATGAAGCATAACATCACCGACAACACAAAACTCACTACAAAAGCTCTTATAGTTAACTGTTTCGTCCATGAAGGTACCTCCTCGTTCTCAAATATCCCATCTACTGACAATTCTTCGTCTTCTGATGTGTTAATATTTTCATCATGCAATCCAACTCCGCTTTCTATATTATTTTCCCTTCCACTGTCCATCTGTTCCCTCTGGATTGAAACTTTAGACTGTCGAGGAATCTTTCTTTTGCAGGTAGATAAATAATTGAAGGATTTGGAAAGTAGTTATAAAGAGTCGAATCACATGTTCTCGTCAAGAATGGCAGCTGGCAACTTGCACGTCAACACTGCATATACATTTCATTGGAAGTTGACTAATGTGATATAATCTTGTGTTGATATACAGTTTGCGGATATTTGTTGGAACTGATTTAAATAACTATCGAGTTATTTTTGAATTCATGTTAATCTTTTTCTAAGTTGCAATCTACTTACCAATTCATCTTGTCCCAATTGGTTTTTTCACTACTTAGGTTAAGGGTTCAAGAATTGATACTTGTCTCCCTTCCACTCCCCCCACAAAAGAAAAAGAAGAAAGGAAAAAAACTCGCAAATCTATTAGGGTGGTCCCAGGATCCTGGAAATTTTTGAGCATTGACAAAATGTAACACTCGAGACTTGACCCTAACAAAGTTTTAAAATATTGGATCCTACTTTACAAGAAAATTCATCACTTCTGTTGAATTTTTCCCAACTGTACGTTACACGATTATTAATGAGAATCTGTGAAAGTATCAGTTGGAATTAATATTTGCAATATATGAGGTAAATCTGTTGGAAAAAATGGTTGTTTTCTTATAGAGTTAAATGTTGGTGTAAATTTGGGTTTAGGTAAATCCCTTCTTGGATGCAATGAAGTGTAGCATTGAGCATAGTCGCATCCCTAAATCTGAATCAGTGAGCAGATGGAAAGACATGCCCGATTAGTCTATTTACAGTGGTGAATAAAATTGTGTCCAAAGTTATGCTAACCCGGCTAAGCTATCGGAAAATGAAAGCTGAATTTGTGGTTGGCGGGATCATTTCCGACAACATTCTTCTTGTCCAAAAATTAATACAAGACATGAATAAGAACCGGCATAACTCCATATGGTTTTTAAACTCAATGTGTTGTTATGTAAGCAGAAACTCTTTCAGCTACGACACTGTTTAACATTTACATATATTATTTTAGATTCGGTTTTATTTGTTTAAGCTAGATAAGTGAATTTGTTTCAGTTTGATAGCCATGGCTGTCTACAAGCTATCTTCATCTCCTTTTAGTGAACAGTAATAGTATCTAAAAATTGTATAAAGCTACTCTAAAAGTTTTGGTGTATTCTTAAAGTCTTCATCAGATGACTTGAAATCCCTTTTTATATGGTATAATGTAGAAGACTTGAAACATAGGAATGGAGTGCATAATCATGCTTACGATTCCCTTTTCTAGTTTGGATTCTAT